TTAAGAACGACAGAGAAATTGATATTTTAGAGCTGGAAGCTGGCTTGCCACATCAGACTGACTGCAGGCACCCAATGGAGCAATTCCTTGCAATAATATTTATCTCACACCCAAAGCTCTTGGAGATGTTTAGATGCATTGTGAAACAAAGACTGAGCAAATGTATTCCAATGGGAATAACTTTCATGCAAGAATCTATAAGTTCTAGACTGAGTATTCTTTATGTGCTTCTCATTGAGCATTAAAATACCTTGGTGAAGTATAAGAGAAGGCTTGGATTTAATGGTGGCAGGGGTGGGATGATCAGGATGGGGTGACCAAAGCAAACCTGTGCATATCACCAGATGTTGTTTGCTACTTCTCTTCCAAAGGAAAGCCAATTTGTTACCTTGGGGTCGCCTGTCCTTATCTATTTTTACATGTAAGACTGCAAGCACTGTGGTAAGAAAGGCTATATTTGTCACAGGAAATTGCATCAACAGTATATTTACCTTTTGCTCACATTCACCTTCATGGATCACTGTGAGAGTATTTCCACTTCGCCTAAGAAAGACATGAACAAATGGCAGCATTTAAAATGGAGAGTACATGATACTACCAATAATATTATTGAGATTGGCAGATATCACCAAAAATGGAACTTCTCGTTTCTTCTGCCCATGCCATCCATATATATATATATAATTTCTGAGGGGTAAAGGGTACCCCAAAAACTATTATTTTTGTACATGGATCTTTATGTGATCTACTCACCGTCTAGCGTTACAGAAGCAACACGAGTTTGCGTAGGTCTTACGATCACTGGCACAGACAGGTCTACGTTCCTTTGTACATGGGCGATCACCTCCGCCAGGTGGAGATGGTTGGTCACGGCACATATTCTATGAAACAAAATAAACCGCTGGTAAATATACCCATTCTGGGGTTTCCCCCACAATTTTTCTATTATCTGCACTGCCAGTTAATCCAGGATAAGGAGATAATCTGAGATTGGATTCTAGGGTATAGGGCAGTATAGATTCACCTTTAGAGAGATTGAGATTCCCTGAAGCAGGGGCTCAACTACAGTATTTTCAGTTTGTCCTCCTAGGTCATTGACACATTTGCTCAAATAAATATCTAAAACTTCAAGAGATAACTCCCTTTAATTGATTTGGAAGACAGATGCCAAGATATTGGAAAACATGGCCAGTTATTGGGTTTCTAAATGTTTCAGTTTTTGCTTTTATTCCTTACATTATTCATGCTTTTATCATTTCAGTAGTAATATGAAAATAAAAAATGAAGATAACCTTGCATTACTTAGAGCAGATAGCTAGTTTGCCATCACAGACTGAGATGTAAAGACTTTTCTGTACATATTTCAGATATCAATATTAATGTCAAATATATGTTGTATGATTTTACATAGAATTTGTGCTACATTACAACAATAAGGACAAATATAACCGAAAGAAAAGAAAAATTAAATATTAAATAACAAAAAATATAGGGAGATCAATTCTCAACAATCATATTTACAGGGTGGTCACCGTTTTTTAATCATCAGTCTTTATGCAGTTTAACACCATTGATAATTTACCCAAAGTATCAGCAATGCGTTGCATGAGATCACCTGACCTCCCTTTGCTTCAGATTGCAGAAGGATCAAGACATAGCCCTGTCCTTTTCTTTTATTTTGCACCCAAAGTGCTCAGAGTGCTTAGTTGCTTTGAGGAAGATCCTAGTCTAATGGAAGTCACTCTCAGGCAAGAATCTAGATATTTCACATTGAGTGTTCTTAATGTCCTTCTCATTTAGCATTAAAAACCACATTCCAGTATACAGGAGCGCTTGAATTTAGTGGTGGTAGGGGTGGCATGTTATGGCCATCAAAGCAGACCTGTGCATACAATCAGGTGCTGGTTATAGAATCATAGAATCAAAGAGTTGGAAGAGACCTCATGGGCCATCCAGTCCAACCCCCTGCCAAGAAGCAGGAATATTGCATTCAAATCACCCCTGACAGATGGCCATCCAGCCTCTGCTTAAAAGCTTCCAAAGAAGGAGCCTCCACCACACTCTGGGGCAGAAAGTTCCATTGCTGAACGGCTCTCACAGTCAGGAAGTTCTTCCTCATGTTCAGATGGAATCTCCTCTCTTGTAGTTTGAAGCCATTGTTCCGCGTCCTAGTCTCCAAGGAAACAGAAAACAAGCTTGCTCCCTCCTCCCTGTGGCTTCCTCTCACATATTTATACATGGCTATCATATCTCCTCTTAGCCTTCTCTTCTTCAGGCTAAACGTGCCCAGTTCCCTAAGCCGCTCCTCGTAGGGCTTGTTCTCCAGACCAGGTTGCTACTTTCTTTCCAAAGAAGAGTCACATAATTACCATGAAGTCTCCTCTCCTCATCTAGTTTTACGTGTAACACTGCAAGACTTTTAGGAAGAAAGACTAGATTTACCACAGGGAATTGTCTCAAGAGTAGATTTACCTTTCGGTCACATTCACCTTGATGGGCTATTGCGATAGTGTTTCCACTTTTCCTAAGGGGGAAAAAAACAGGAAAAAAATTACAGCATTTAAAACGGAGAGTCCTAGGACTATTCTACATTAACATATAATCCAGATTATTAAATCAGATAATCCATATGATTTGCTTTGAACTGGATTAAATGAGTCGACACTGCCATATAATCCAGTTCAAAGCAGATAATATGGATTTTATATGACAGTGTAGAAGGGGCTTTAGATGCACCACTAAGAACTGATGTTTTTACTATATCATTTGTAGGAATCATCCAAAGTGGAACTCTACATTTCTTTTGAGCATTTCAATCTTTAGACATTTATCTATGCCTTCAAATACTAAAGAGGATTGCAGGAACTTTAATTTTGTTATAGAAGGCTGTCTATGCGATCTACTCACCTTTTGGCATCACAAAATGAACACAGGTTTCCATAGGTTTTACCATCACTGCCACAGACAGGGCTGTAGTCATATTGGCACGCAGCTTCCTGGCCCTCGGGTGGAATTGGGATATTGCGGCACTCATCCTACGAAACAATATTACTATGATTATGATTATTTATACCCAGCTTTATCTCTCCTGAAGGAGACTCGAAGCAGCTTAACATAAAAGCATCAGCAGATAATTCAAATATACAAACATGCAAACATTAAAACAGAATTAAATATAAACAGTATTAAAACATTCCCAATTAAAAACCATTAAAATACTAGTAGTGAAGGCTACACATTTGCTAGTATTTTTCACAAGGCCCGTTTGGTGTACTGCTTCAAAAGGAATGGTTTTGTAATAGTAAAGGTAAAGTTTTCCCCTGACATTAAGTCTAGTCATGACCGACTCTGAGGGGTGGTGCTCATCTCCATTTCTAGGCCGAAGAGCCGGCATTGTCCGTAGACACCTCCAAAGTCATGTTGCCGGCATGACTGCATGGAGCGTCATTACCTTCCCGCAGAAGCGGTACCTATTGATCTACTCACATTCGCATGTTTTCGAACTGCTAGGTTGGCAGAATCCGGGCTTAACAATAGGAGCTCACTCCGCTCCCCAGATTTGAACTGCCAACATTTTGGTCAGCAAATTCACCACCAGGGGGGTCTGGTTTTGTAATATCAGTTTCCTCATGAGTCATACCATATCTGAGCTCGTCCAGATCCTTCTTAAGAAGTATGAATTCTTATGACGCAGTCTATTTCCGTTTTCTATATTTTCCCATCGTTACCACTTTTGTTGCATTCATTCCATTGGGGAGAGGGGAGGGGTGTAACCATTCCTGGCATATGCATTACCGCTCAATCCAAAGCTGTTTTTTTTTTAAAATCTAATGTCTACAGAAGTATTGTTTGTTTCCCTATAGTTCAAAGGGGAAATTCTCTATGCATTATCTGTTTAAGAGTTGGAAGTCATGGCACGAATATATAAAATTTGTACTACATTAGAATAGTAAAGACAAATATCACTGATTTTTTTAAAAAACATTAAAAACTAAATAACCAAGAAATATAGGGTGACCAATTCACAACAGTAATAGTTACAGGGTGGTCACCTTTTTAAAAATCATCCATCTTTTTGTAAATGAACTAGTTTAACACCATTGTCCATTTACCCAAAGTATCAGCAATGTGTTGCATGAGTTCACCTGACCTCCCTTTGCTTTAAATTGCAGAAGGATAAAGACATTACACTGTCCTTTTATTTTGCACCCAAAGTGCTCAGTGTGTTTAGTTGCTTTGAGGAAGATAGATTGAGAAATCATAGTCCAATGGATGTCAGTCTCAGACAAGAATCTAGATATTTCACATTGAGTTTTCTTAATGTCCTTCTCTTTTAGCATTAAAAACCACATTCCAGTGGTTTTAGTGGTGGTAGGGGTGGCATGTCATAGCCATCAGAGCAGACCTGTGCATACCAGCAGGTGCCGGTTGCTACTTGTCTCAAGAATAGATTTACCTTTCGCTCACATTCACCTTGATGGGCTAGTGTGATCGCGTTTCCACTATCCCTGAAGGGGAAAAATAAAACAGGAAAAAATTACAGCATTTAAAACTGAGAGTCCCAGGACTCTTCTACATTACCATATACGTAATCCAGATTATCAAAGCAGATAATCCACGATTTCCTTTGAACTGGATTATATGAGTCTACACTGCCATATAATCCAGTTCAAAGCAGATAATATGGATTTTATATGGCAGTGTAGAAGGGTCCCTAGTTGCACCACTAAGAACTTATGTTTTTTACTATATCACTAGCTGTACCCGGTCACGCATTGCTGTGGCCCATTGTGGAGAAATGGGAAAGAAAGAAAAGAGGTAGAGGTGGTTTCTAAGCTATCAATACACAACTGAAGTGGCAAAGTGTCAACCTAATATAGGCCCATTTCAGTATCCTCGAAGCCAAAGGGTTATATAGGTATGTGGAAGGGCCCTGGGTTACCTGAGTCCACACTGCCATATAACCCAATTCAAAGATATTATATAGGTATTATTATTATTATTATTATTACTATTATTATTATAGATGTATAGATATTATTATAGGCATATAGATATTATTATAGACAAAAATATTATTATTAAAGGCATGTAGGTATTATTATTATAGATGTTATTTATTTATTTCGTATCAAAAGCATTGCATAAATTAGTATAAAACTGATAAAAAATAGGAGCACAAGGCTAAATATTTTTCAAGTAAAAACGGGCAACAGATGTATGGATATTATTATGACCCATAGATATTATTATTATTATAGATATTATTATTATTATTATTATTATAGATATTATATAGCTGTTATTATTAGATATGTATACATATATTATTATTATTATTATTATTATTATTATTATAGACATATAGGTATTATTATTATAGATGTATAGATATTATTGGCAGACAGATATTATTATTATAGGGATATGGGTATTATTATAGACCTATAGATATTATTATAGGCATATAGACATTATTATTACAGACATTCAGATATTATTACAGACATGTAGATATTGTTGTTATAGACATATAGACATTTATTATTATTATTATTATTATTATTATTATTATTATTATTGACTTATAGATATTATTACGATAAATACATAGATATTATTGTAGGTATTATAGCCCAGGGTTGCTATAGAGTAGAAATGGATGGCCATCTTTTGGGAGTGTTTTGATTGCGCCTTCCTGGACAGCCTTTCCTAACTCACAGAGTGTACATTTCCTGTTTTGTCCTTTCTTTGAATACTGGACTTCATTTCCCAGAATTCCTTCTCATTACTCAGTATGATGAGCTTTCTGGGAGTTGAAGTATGTAGAGGTATGTGTGTGTGTGCATATAGGTATGTGTGTGTGCCTACGCATACACACGTGCACACACAAACAGAGAATCCCTTCCGTGTGAGTTCCCAGCAGCCCAGTGGAGGCATTTCCATGTGAATACCAGGCAGCCAAGAGGGAAAGGAAGGGGAAGGGTGGATCTGGAGGAGGGTGTCATCTCTCTCTCTCTCTCTCTCTCTCCCTCTCCCTCTCTCCCTCCTTCCCTCCCTCTCTCTCAATCCTTTGGGAAGAGAGAGGCAGGGGGTGGTGAGAGGGATATATGGGCCACCTGTCCCTCCCTCTCTCAAGCCCTCTCTCTCTCAGCAGTTGTTTTTTTCCCCTGGTGCAGGAGCAAGGGGCGGGGGGGGGGGGTGTTGTATAGTCATTTAGCTTTGTGGGGGGTTTAAGTTCTTTCTGGTTAATTTTTTTTGTTTTTTTGAGTGAAGGACATAGATTGCTTTGGTTGGTGTCTTGTGTCCAAATTTGGTGTCAATTCACCCACTGGTTTTTGAGTTATGTTAATCCCAAAAACGAACATTACATTTTTATTTATATAAATTTGTAGGCATCAGCCAAAGTGGAAACTCTGCATGTCTTCTGAGCATTTTAATCTTTAGACATTTATCTATGCCTTGAAATGCTAAAGAGGACTGCAGGAACTTTAATTTTGTTATAGAAGTTTGTCTATGCAATCTACTCACCATTTGGCATGACAAAAGGTACACAGGTTTCCGTAGGTTTTACCATCACTGCCACAGACAGGACTATAGTCAGCTTTGCACACACCCGCCTGGCCCTCGGGTGGAATTGGGATACTGTGGCACTCATCCTGTGAAACAAAAGATACAAGTGGTGAAGGCTACACCTTTCTTCGTATTTTTCACAAACCCCCTTTGGTGTACTGCCTCAAAAGAAATAGCTTTGCAATGTCAGTTACCTTATTCCCATATCTGGTCTCTTCCAGATCCCTCTTTAATGTGAATTCTCATGATGCAGCTTATTTCTGTTTTTTCCCAACCTTACTTTTGCTGCATTCATTCCATTTTTGGGGGTGGGGTGGGGTGTTTCCAACCATTCCTGGCACCTGCACTAGAACTGAATCCTAATGTGAGTTTTTTTTTAAAAAAAAAAATCAAAGGTCCACCACAGGAGTATTGTTTGTTTTTCTGTAGTTTGAAAGGGAATTTTTCTATGTATTATTTAGGAATTGTAAGTGAAAGCAAAAATAAGACAAGTCACTGATCAACTGCAACTGTAATTCTTTTTAAAATATAGAAGTGGAAGGAAACTGATTTGTAAAATATGCCCAGAAATTAGAAAGAAACCCATATTACGATGGGAATAAAATTTTATAACTGGTATCAGGGATTGCCAGAAAATACTCTGGGACTACAGAAGCATTGTTTGGATATATTTTTTAAAAGCTTGAAAAGGAGATGAACAAATACTGCAACTTCTGGTGCATTTCCTTGTTTGAAGAATCTTTTTATTTTCTTTTTCTCAAATTTCAGCAATAGTTGAAAGGTTGCAAGAGATTCCTATGAAAGGCTTCATCATGACAGGGGCAGTGTTTTCAGTAAAAAAAAAAAGGATAATATTTCTTTCCCATTTGTCACTAAAGCCTGACGCCAATTGTGGAGCAAATTATAGGGAGCAGATGATGCTCCTATTAAAACAGCTGCACTGGCTGCCAATAAGCTTCCAGTCCCAATTCAAAGTACACATAATCACCTATAAAGCCCTGAACGGTCAGGGCCCTGCCTATCTTCATGACCACATTTCCCTCATGTACCTGCACAAGCGTTAAGATCTGCTGGGGAGACCCTCCTCGTGGTCCCACCACAATACAAGCATGTTTGGTGGGGATGAGGGAGACGTCCTTCTTGGTGGTGGTCCACCAGTTTTGGAATGCCCTCCCCAGGGAGATTAGGCAGGCCTCGTACCCTGTCCTTCTTCCAGAGTGAATTGAAGACTTGGATGTTTAGATAAGCCTTTGAAAATGTCTAGCCTAATGGTCCGCAACTATGATACAGCACAGCACTTTCATTCCATGCCGTTAATCCTTAGCTACAACTTGCATTATCCCTTTCCCTTCTTCTTGTTTACAATTGACCATGTTTTTATGACAGTTGACACTATAGGTTATTTGGTGCTGTTTTGAGTTCAAATTGTTGTTTTATATACTTCTGGCTTATCTTGTATTGTTTTGCATATTTTATTTTATTTTATGTGTTGTTTTAGGCACTTTGTGCCATGTGAAAGCTGCTCTGAGTCCGTTTGGGGAGATAGAGGCGGGGTACAAAAATACTATTGTTGTTGTTGTTGTTGTTGTTGTTGTTGTTGTTATTAAATGATGGTCACTGATGCCATAATAGTACACTGCTGAGCATTCCTTATACATATTTATGGGAATCAAAGCTATGATGCCCCAAATCACTGCAGTGTGGAAAGATGGTAAAGAAAGTAAAGTAAATTTGGAATGTTTTAGGGGCCTTTAAAGTATTATACTCTCAGTACATCTCCTGCTTTAGCATTTTGTGTTTGATTTTATGGGATAATTTATGATCTGTGTGATGTACTTACCCTTACTCCATGCTGTTTGGCTTCTCTTTTCATCCTGGATTGCCCAAGACCAAGTTGGATTTCTCCTTTGATCTTCTCCATAGCAACAACTGTATGGATTACAGTTCACACATGTGCATTAGAAAATGCATGTAACATCCTAATCACTGATACACTGTAAACAGAATATTTGGGTGACATGAAGATGTTACCTGGTGTCAGCACAAGCTTGGTTTCATGGCTTTCACATAAGAAGTGCAGCCATGTGTTCCGGAGGGGCACAACATCATCTGTTTTCTTCACAGTCTCCCGGCAGAGCTTTATGGGGACCACGGGGACTGCAAGACACCAATCTCTAGTGTCTTTTTTGTAGGAGGACCTTGATTGCTGCAGTGAATATAGTCTTGTAAGTATTTCATAAGAAGCAATGCAGTAATATGCAAGGCGTACATGGAGAAGAGAAGAGCACGTTACAGAATAAATAAAATCCCAGTGTAAAGAGATATCTGAGTCACATTGGCCACATTTTGGGTTTATATTTCAGATATCATTGGAACCATTGTAGTTCTTTCAGCTTTTGGGGCATAAAGACTAGCTTGCTGATGAAAGATGACTTCCTATTAAAATGTCTAATTTTACCAGTATTGCCTTCATGTGTCAGTATATTAAAACAAAACCTATGTGAGAACTTATAAGCTATAATTAATCTAAAAACAGAGGAAGATTTTTTCCCCAAAATCACAATAAATAAATATAAAACTGTGTTCTTCCATTAAATAGAATAATAATCAGTTATCTAACTTATCATCAACAGCCTAAAACATTAGGAAATTATGATATTCCCTAAAGGACATGTTTACAAATGCATGCATGTGTATATATACACACACGCACAAGAGAGCCTTACTTTAATGCCGCTTCCCCTTGGCTGGAACTCTTCATTCAAGATATCCTCAACAGGTCTTTTGGGAAAGACTGGAGCTTTCTTCTCATAATCCAGGTGCCTTGCAACAACATGTGCCTCGTGGCTGTGTGTATACACAGGGAATGCCATTGAATTTGAGGAAATATGAAGGACATTCAAAGGGAAAAACACTCACTGAATGAATGGCATGAGAGCAGCAAGATCATTCCACAAGCTCCGAATACTCAGGGGCTCAGGCTAAATTCTTGATCTCACTATGACAAGTTTACTTACAGTCCACTTTTCTCCAAAACTGAAAAACTCAGTATAGCTTACAAACAAATAAGGCTGTAATACACACACACACACACACACACACACACACAACATTACAATGTAGCATATATACACATTACAAGACTACATCACAGGCTATTCTATCTGCAATTGGAGAGCAAAAGTGAAAAGGTCTTTTCTTTCATTGGACAATCATGTTTTTGCGGGTCTTGCACCCCCTTGCTTTCCCACACTTTAATCCAAGCTCAAGGAAATGTCAGAAGTGAACTCTACAATGGACCTTTTTTGATGTGGTAGGCAACTGATGCAGATGACAGGAAAGAGAAAGAGGAATAAAAAGAAGACACATACAGCACTCTCAGCCACTTTCAAATGGCAAGCACATATATGTCCCTTCCGTCACCACCCCCCAAAAATGAAAAAGAGCTCTAAAATAACGTCCACCTTCAGAGCCAGAAATGAAAGGAGAAGTCTTTGCCTTTGTCTGTGTATTTGTGTCCCATTGAATGTCACTGAATGTTTGCCCGTGTCTGTTTCTATGCTGTAATCTGCTCTGAGTCGCTTCAGGGAGATGGGCGGAATATAAATAAATTCTTCTTATTACTCAATATGAAGAAGAAAAATTAAAACATTTTTCGTTATTGTTGTAGTGAAAAGTGTTCTTCAATTTCCATATGCAGTCCCCAAATCATGAACAAGATAGGTTGTGCAGGTTTGTTCTTAAGCTGAACTTGTATGTAAATGAGAACAGGTTCATTTTTTAAGTATAACACTAGCCAAGTATATATATATATTGTTTAGGGAAGAGTCAACACTCCTGTGGTGTTTGTTTTTCTGTCTGTGCCCCTGTTCAGAAGATTCTACCTCACTTTCTATCCTTGTGATAATTGGATTTTGAAAAAAATGGCTTGTTATGGAAACAAGGAGGGGTGATAAAGCTTCAGTTGACACACCCTTTCCCTATAATAACTTTTTCAGGAGTAAATTTCCCTTCCAAGGGGTAGATTTCTCTCACTTTCTGTCTGCTCTTAACTATGAATCATTTGTAAGCCGGATGTTTGTAACTCGGAAAACAAATCCTAGTAGACCATTGCATTCTAGTGAACAAAATAGCAAAACTATAAGGAAGCATCATGGGTTCCTAAAACTCCCACAAAACCATAAGACAAGACTGCAACATGAAACAATGTTTTGGGAAGGCAGAGAAAGAGCACAAATCCCTGAGCTGTAGCTCTGAATCTTGTTATGGTTCTTCCTGAAATATATCCAATGGTTAAGTAGTATGTGCTTCTCACTGTAACAGAGAGTGCAGCTAATAGTAGGTAGGTAGACCAACAGATAGATAGGGTTGGAGAACCACTGTACCTTGCCACTGCCAGCTCATATTTGTCATGGACTGGTTCAATTTCAAATTCAACCTTCTCAGCTTCCAATGTGGCTTTCATTTTCAGGGAAGCTTGTGCCCTGAATTTGCCTGTGATTTCCACGATGTGTACGGAAGGTCCTGTGTTCAGTCCCCACACAAACTTTCCAAATCCTTGGAGGCTAAAAGGAAATAGGAAATCACACATACAATACATTTAACCACTGATATAACTAGCAGAGCCAGGTTCAGCATTAGACAGAATGAGGGAGCACCTCAAGGGGTTGATTTTGGAGTCCCCAAAGAGCTGTTCCGTATGTAATTTGGTTCCCTTGTTTTCCTAAACTCCAAGAATAGGATTCATGGGATGTTTTCCTAATAGTGCAAAAATAACTTGGCTATGACTTGCATCATGTGTGAATGAAAGCGTGTGTGTTTGTGGGGATATTATATGCCTCTCCACCTTGCATGGCCATGTCAAACAGGTTCACAGTTCAGTTTTCATGAACAAAGCTGTGGTATGGGACAATAATTTTACCATAATGGCTGAATACAAAAGTCATGTTTGGCTTACCTAGATGAGCTCTCAAGATGAAGTCCCTTTTGGATATTATGAGTCTTCTTCTGATCTGCTTCATTTTCCAATTCTTTTCCTACAAGAGATCAAAAGAGTAAAGGCTGTAAAAGGAGACTTGGCTAAACTCTGTCTACAGCTTTTGGCTAGGGAACCTGTCACCTTCATAAAAGAAAGGACAATCTCTTTTCCCCCTTTAAGAACGAACATAGAAACACTGACTATGTGTTGAATCAGGAGTCTAACAAAACATTTCATGACATTTGGTGATCTTCTGACTTACCCTTAAATGTAGTATATGGCATAAAAATGCCACTGGCACTAAAATCAATCAATTGACCGGAAGCACTAGGAACCATATATCGACCCTCCAGAATCAGAGATAGAATCCATCGCTCATCAACATTTTTGATGAACTGATAAATCAATCCAATTGCTTGAGGCCCAAGTCTTCCTTCCTCTAACTGCAACAGAATAGACATTCTATTGATTAAAAATATGACACAAATGGTTTGAGTAGACTGTGAACAAAAAAAGAAAGCAGCTCACCTTCCCAAGTAGTATTGCATCTTCAGTGGTCATATACATGAATTCTTTGTCCATAAAGGAGAGTGAACTACCAAGCAAAGGATTCTCAAGGGCTAAGTCTTTGAATCCTGGCAGCTGAAAATCAAACAGATGATGCTTGGTGAGGCTCATGCTAATTTAAGCAAGAGCAAAAAAAAATCATTTTGCTATGCAGCACTCTTGTTGTAGGCATCTTCATTTTGCCAATATCCATGCCCTTTTGTTGAGAACAGTATTTTAACAATGCCCCAAAACCACTTAATGTAGTCCCAAGCCACAAACAGCCTCATGCTATAAATGCAAGTAACTGACCAGGTCATCTCTTCTTGCTCATTTGGAAGTCATTTGCCCACCCCTTCTCCCAATACAGATCTAGGAATAAGATCACCCATCATTTTTTAAGCCCGTGGACTCAAGGAACTGAATATATTACCTGTCTTTCTGTATCTTTAATCTTCTGATGGCTAAAGGTTTGCTCAGTTGGCCGATTGAGGTTTGCCCACCATTCCTTTACGCCGCCAAATTCAACTGTAAACTTTTCAAAGAAAGAGAGAATTTGGAAAGGGTACGATATGAGCTCATTCCTATTTATCATGTATGAAGCAATATGCAAAGGAACCCAGCCCACTTCTTTTTCTTGAAATGTGCTAAGGCAATGTGATACTTACCCCAATTGGCCGAACAACTACGCCAGAGAAAGTTACTTCTGAGTTGAAGATGAGATATGAGGGGAATGGTCTTATGGGGTTGTCAATCACAATAAATTTAGAAATGCCACCAAATCTGTGAAGAGCTGTAATTTAAGCAAACACATCAGAAAATGTATCAACATGTTAATAATCGCCGAAGGCTTTCATGGCCAGAATCACTGGGTTGTTGTAGGTTTTTTTGGGCTATATGGCCATGTTCTAGAGGCATTATCTCCTGACATTTCGCCTGCATCTATGGCAAGCATCCTCAGAGGTAGTGAGGATGCTTGCCATAGATGCAGGTGAAACGTCAGGAGAGAATGCCTCAGGAACATGGCCATATAGCCCGAAAAAACCTACAACAACTCATGTTAATAATCTTCAAAAACTGGAAGTACAGTACCTCTGCTACAGTTCTTTGGAAGTACTTTCCCGGATTGTTTTCAATAACTTATGGTTGCCCTAAACTGACTGAATGGGCATCATCCCCTAAACATTTTTGCTTACAAATAAAGTACGCAAAGTGACAATTCCATGGAAAATGCCTGCCCCAGGCCCCATCTACACTGCCATATGATGCATTTTAAAACTTCACTATATGGCAGTGTCGTTAGGGACTCCGACCTTCCAAGATTTCTCTTTGCAATATATAATTTAAAAGGGAGATAGGAAAGTACCTTGCCTTAACTCTGGGATTTTCTAATATTGAATTGGTGCAGAAACATTCCCTAGGCCCCTTCCACACAGCTGAATAAAATCCCACATTTTCTGCATTGAACTGCAATATATGGCAGTATGGACTCAGATAACTCAGTTCAAAGGAGATCTTGTTGGCTCTTCTGTCTTGATATTCTGGGTTATATGTGTGTGTGGAAGGGCCCTTAATCTACAAATTAGACTTTAAACTGGATATATCTCTTGAACTGAACGCAAGCCCCACCAAGCTGAATAACACATTTTTTTCTTTTTAATTCCAATGTTTATCTTTTTAGATGTTGTCTCAGATTGTTTTAATGCTGTGACTTGTGTAATTGCATTTCAATGCTTACATTTTGTATATATTTGATATATTGTTCTTATAATATTTTACGCGTTTGACTCCAAACTTTAGAAAAGTGATAAAGACGAGGAGGAGGAGATTGGAAAAGAGATTGGGAAAGTTACTTTTGGACATTTTCCCAGAATCTCCTAAACTTGGTCCCATTCTTTTCCATGGTGATATGCAATGCCTTAAGTGGCGTAGCTGCAAAAGTATGTGTGGACATAGCTTGAAGAAATAATTTTTAAAGACCCTACTTCCAAAATAGCATGATGAGTGGGTGATTCAAGGAGTTGCAGTTAAGAATTAACTTTCCCAAGTTCTTTGGGACATAGATTACACACATTTGCAGATTACCCCCCAAAAAAAGGGAAGCAAGGTTCATATATGAAATAACACAGAATTTAAAAATCCAAAGTACTTTTTATATGTTGGGATATGGCTTTTCACATATGAAAAAACAATATCCAAAAAACCTAGTTTTTTTCTTATTAATTAATTTTCTTCTTAATTTGCCAATCTGATACTTACTATTGAATATGTTCAAATAAACAACTTTGCTGTAATTTCCACTCTTTGGGAAAAACCAAGGATTCATAAGTTTCAAGGCCACATGGCAATAAGAAGACCTAAAGAAAATTGAAATCATCAGTGAAATTAGAATCAGCAATACATGTCAAATCTTGTCTGTTCAAAAACCAGCCCTGTTCAGGAAGGAAGAGGTTTGCACTGCAGAGGTCTTGTGGTCCTTGAAAAGCTAACGGGTTTACCAGGCATTAAATGAAGCCTGGAGACCCAACTACCAAAGCTAGGCCTTGAACACCTTTTACTAGATCTAACTCAAGATTTTTTGTTTTTGCTGCCACTGTAGCAGATTATGATAGCTACAAGGCAACCAGGCAGGTTTATTTTTAGGAAAAGGGATAGAGACTGAATAGGCTACTCTTGGTTCAGATGAGACACTGGCCAGTAGGCTGAGCCAATGTTGCATGCACATTAGCTCTCACTGAATTGAAAACAGGGCATTCGTTAAGAATTAAATGCACAACCACTGGGATACAGAGGCAATTCCTGATAGGAGAATAGCCCATATCCCCTTGCCTTTATCTCCACTTCTCCAGGCGGATATTCAAGTTGTTCAGGGGCCTGGTCAGTACCAAACCTCTCAAGGTACAAAATCTGCACTGGGAGATGTCAGGGACATCCCAGAGCAGCTGGAAAGGGAACAACGGCAAAGCCAGGAGGGGATCTGATTGAAAAGCATTGTGAGGTGGAAGGTGCATCTCAACTTACAGGTTGTAGTACATTGGGAGCCTGAGTTTGGAGCAAGCCTTCAGCTGAGAGTAGACAAAGGAGACAAGCACTGGCTCCCTCTCTCTGAATGCAACATTAGCGACAGCTGTGATAACTGGGAGAGTTGGGTATGTTTCAAAGATGGCCATGCAAGCCACAATTCGAGCTTGAATAGGAGCAGAAGAGTTCATATAGATCTGCATTAGAATGCCATGAACCTGAAGAAAAAGAAAATGTCCCATTATGGTTAAGTCTTGCAAACATTTTGAAGGTTGTAGGAATGAGAAACATACTTAAAATGAAAGAGAAGAGGATAGCTCCTATATGGAGATCATACAGTAAGCAAAAACAATGTGCTTAGGTGTACCCACACCTTGGAATTATTGAACCACATAAACTGCCATGGCTCGATGTTATGGGATTTGTAGTTTGGGGGCAGAGCCCTGGTGCCAAAGTAAATAAAAAATCCAAGGTTTCCATAGGATGAAGATGCAGCAATTAATATGTGGCAGATCTGCTATTACTTCTGCAGTGTGGATAATCTCAAAGTGCCTCATAAAAACCTGTGCAGTCCACTGAGTTCTGCTCCTTCGGTCATTCGGTGGCCATCTAGATGCCCTTCAGAGGGGCCAACCAAGGCAGACTTCTCCACCTACTTGCTCCACCTCCTGATACCAAGGCAGCATTCCTTCTTTCTCTAATCATTTTGCCTAATATTACTCCAATATAGACCCTCTGCTTTCTTTTCCCTTTCTCCTTTCTTTTCAAACAAATTTCTGATATTCAGAATTGCAACCTAACCATGGTTTGAGCTATGGGGAGGAGTTGCACCTGGAACTGTTTCTAAAGACATAATATCTTCCTAATGTTTTCAGATGAGTCCTTCTTTTTCTACTTACCTTTGCAGGATCCCGTCTGCCAATTTTCATGAGCGCTTGAATAGCAACAACCTGGACAAATTTGCTGTGTTTATCATTCTGGGCCAAGGGTCTCACTAATTTCAAGCTGGCTGGCTGAGCAGCATTGCCAATAGACTTCAGAGCCAATATTATGCGTTTCTCATCATGGTGCGTGACTGCCTCAGTGAGGAGGTTGTGGATGGGCTACAAACAGAAACAAACACAAAAAATGGGATCATTCCAACTTCATCTGAGAAATGCAGTATATGTGGTTGTCTTTTCCCTATGGCAAAACATTGAGGGATAATCTGCAAGTACCATTTCTGGGGTGTCACCAGAGGAAGGAGATTTAGATGAAACTAGTGACTTTCCGATCTGGACCACACTTGGGAATGTTCCCAGAGATCAAAGAAATCACTTCTTATTGGTAATATGCAAGCCAAAGCAATTCCTCAATGGCTCTGGAAAGCATACTTTTCTTTGGTTAACGCATGTACAATTCAACTTCACCTAAAATAAGGACCACATACCTCAAGCAATTTGTTGGGACAACTTTGACCCAGAGAACATTGTCTGGAGACGAAAGCTCCATATGCCAGGATGACAAGCTTCTCAAGCACTAATGGCCCAGTACTATGAACATGGTTGAGAATTTCCTGTGGATTAGAGAAAGCAGTCAATCCAGGGACCAGATTTTCATATACAATGTGTCTTTTATAATGCTTACTCCATTGCTTTAATTGAAAACAATGTATATCTTCCATTCTTGTAGGGAGCACCAATTTAACATGTACTCACGGCTGCTAGGCGAGCTGTTTCCTCTATTCTAGCAACATCCGGGCTGGCAGTGTGGAACATTATGGGAAGGAGCCAATAAAGTTCCATTTTCTGCAGTTCGCCTTTGATCAGTTTTTCTTTGAGAAACTTCATGGGGTCAAGACGGCCTGCATATAAGATTGAACTCAGCAGGAGATGTCTGCAAAGGAGAGAAGAGAACATCCTTAAGATTCATTCTGATCTCTTTTCTACAAGAGCAGTCCTGACTGAGAGATCTGAGGGCAGATTCTGAGACTCCCGTCTCTGGCACTTCTCAGGTGCTCAGGCAGTGCTCTGCAGGGCATGCTGGTTAGACAACATACCTGGGTTTGGGTTTGTGCTCAACTGTCTTGAAAAGGACATTCATCTCCTCTACAGTCAAACGACGGCACAGTTGGCTAAGGTCTATGTACTTGGGGAGAGCCTCTAGAGGGATGTTTTCCCAGCGATCGGCCTCCTTCAGAATTTCCTCAGCCTGATAGAAGAGCGGAAAGCAAAGAGGAGACAGGATATCATCAGTGTTGGCCATCAAAACATTCTTTGGAAAGTCAGTAAGAAAAGAAGAAACATATTTGTTCTTTACCTGTTGCTTAGCATTTCCAATTATCTTCATCTCTGGCAGATCTTCTGGGAATTCATAACGAATGCTTACAGTCTTTTGAACACCTTCCTGACTTGGTGGTGGGGCATGTTGAACAGAACTTTCAACCAAGTCCAGGTTTTGCCTAAGAGGAAAAAGAAGAGTAGAAAGGTGCAACTGAGGAATGAGTAAACTGTGGAGCTAAACATGGAGCTAAATATACGTAACCATTCTTTTTGGAAAAGCATGTGGATGTGCAACTTACTTGGTTATAATTACTCCAGAACCATCGGCTTCACTGAATGGAGAAACTTGGTATACTTCCTTAGACTCAACTTGAGAAATCATGCTTATAGGACCATTACATTTCAGCTTCATGACCAAGGCTGAAGTTCCTTGAACCATTGTGTTTTTCTAAATGACAGAAAGTGGCACCTTTTGTGAGTGCAACACACACTGGGTTGAAAGACTAACATGGCGGATGCTTTAGAGATGGAGTTAGCAGCTCATATAGAAGGATATTAATCCCACCCCACATCTCTGTTAAAGTCAGTGGAATAACTTAACTTTTGCACATGAACGAATATATTTGACCTGTTCTTACCAGTGGGCATTTTGGATAGAGGTGGAAGTAAGACATTCCAATGGTCCGCTGGACTTTATTATCGCAGTTGCCGTAGTCCTTGGTCTTGGTGATCGTGGAGCACTTGTTCCTGTCATTTGTGATGAAATACCTTGTCAGGCACTCACCCACAATGCCATCCTGGAAATATTGATGAAGACACATTATCAGGGGATATACAAATATCATCCAAACAGTGTGTGGCTGAGTATGCAATTGGAGTAGAGCAGAATGAAACTAACACTAGGAAACACAGTGAAGAGTCACTCTTCTCTCTCTCTCTCCTTAATATTTTCTATGTTGCAGTACTTTTTCGTGTTGCATATTGTTTCCTAACAGTTTAGACAGTTGGAGAGAAAATGACTTGACAAGTTCCTTGATTGGCCCCAAGCACAAAGATTGGTTTTTAGTCTGTTAATTTTATACTAAGGAGAGAAATCTGGAATCAGATTATTAGGGTCTAAGATTCCCATCTGGAAACTTCATTTAACAATTAGACATCTTAGTCACAAAGTATTTAAATGAATATCTAAATTAGCAATTAGACATTTCATGTAGCTTAATCTTTATTTTCATTTATTGTAAGTTGTCTGGGTCCCCATGTTTGGAAAAATTGGTAGTATACATATAAATAAGTGCTGGAACCACTATGGATAAGCAGAGTGTTAGCTGACTACTCATTGAAACAAGAGATGTGGAAGAGTTTGACCCCTAACTGAAATTCAGCCCCAGCCATTATGGTTGGGGATGATGGGAACCGAAGATCAACAATTGGAGAGACAAAAACAGAAAAAAACAAATTGAATGTAAACAAAAAGTATAGACAGCTTTTTACTACTAAAGTAGGCTGGAGGTATATGAAAAAATGACTGCAAACACTGCAAAGTGTTAGAGCTTTTCCTTTTAGCCATTCTTGCCTTTTATTGATAATTTTTAATTGGTAATGTAATTTGCTGCTTCTGGTTTGATACATACAGACCTCTATTGCTTGATTGTACACCATCCTATCAATAACATAAACAAACAAGGTGTATATGAGAGAAATTAACCTCTTTCAGCTGAAATTCATTCTGGTCCTTTACGTTTGCAATCATCAAGTTCATGACTCCTCTCATATAATTCACACATTTAAGAGGGACGTCTCTTGCCACATGGATCTCGCCAAACTGTCCATTATTGTAGACAGCACGGTAGTTGAACTTGCGACAGTCAGCCAGTCTGTTATCTTGCTTGGGAGGCTCAACAAATTGGCCCTTTGGCTCAGCAAAGTGATCCTTGGGCAGGACAGGGAATCCAACAGCCTCTTCTGCTTTAATATTAAGAATCTGGGAACAAAATGATAGGGGGAAAGAAGAGATATGACATTTTGTGATTTTTCCCCCAATTAAGCACTTGTAGCTTCTGCTGATTATCGCAGATGGGACAACAGTACTAACTTGTGCAGCTCCACTCAAAGGTGAGTCCTGTCAAGGTCAATGGGTATTACTATCACAGAGGTGCTAGCAGGATTGCATCCAAAAATGATTTGTTTTGGTTCAATCACACCCTTTCTCATTAGATAATGTTTTTCATATATAAAGAGGAAGCAAGTGACTTGGTGTATAAAAACATATTTTGCCGAACTGTTAATGTTTCTTTGCATCTCACATTTCTTTGTATTAAATTGTTTAATACATGAAGGCTTACATTTTTTTGTGAGAAAAGGGACAGAGTGCCATTACTACATGTTTGCCTTCCAACACTGGCAGGACAGAGGAGGAATCCAGCCAGTCCATAAGAAGGGGCACAGCTTTGACTGAGCCACCCTAAGGCTAAAGCGGCTAGATTTCAAAAGACTGCTTAGACTTCTGCTGCCAGCGACAGCAGCAGTCAATCAAAAGAGAACCACAGATACGTTCTGGTGTGTCACCCCAATTTATGCAGTACCTACAAACCATGTTTGGAAATATGGGAAGAGGGTCAAATGAACATTATATTAATTATTACCAAAAACAAAATCTGATACAACATAAAAGCTAGATGCCAAGAACTGCTGATAGCTGAATATCTAACATGATTCCAGAAATACAAAATATAATGAAAGAGACTGAGAACAGGGTGTTAAATGCATTAATGCGGTGGTTCTCAACCTGTGGGTCCCCAGGTGTTTTGGCCTACAACTCCTAGAAATTCCAGCCAGTTTACCAGCTGTTAGGATTTCTGGGAATTGAAGGCCAAAAACATCTGGGGACCTACAGGTTGAGAACCACTGCATTAATGCAAGCAAATTGGCATATGCAGGAGAATTGAAACATAAGACATGTTTTTTTCTGGTTGGTGTTGTTGAACTTAGTGTGTATCTTACAATTGATGGTGTCTCAGATTTAAATAAGTACATTATATTGTAGAACTAGAGCAATCATTTGTTTCTATAGCTCTTTGAAATGTTCTCTTTCAATTGAAGCAGTGAATGCACCTGAAACTATACCAAAGAGTTTCCTCCTTACCGAGAAAACCACCTCCTTGTTCTGACCAGTTGCAAAGACAGATATGTCAGCTGTTATCTTTACAAGCGAGTGTCCCAGATCTTCTCCACTGACTGTGCTCCGGATATCAGTCACATATTTGTAGCGGTGTAGTATCCCTTCAGGGAAATCTATCCCTGCAAAGAATCATACAAAGAAACATTTACACCTGTTGTCTTTAATGGATACATACTTATAAAGAATGAGGACATTAACCAGGCAATCAAATGATGATTAAGCTAAAACATCAACCAGTTAATTGCTTGACAAACAGTTTTAGATATAGGTCTGGCTAGTTAAGCAACAGATTCTGGCATGACACTTTAAATTAGGGCCGGGCTGGTAGCACAACTGGTTAATCAGCTGCAATAAATCACTGCCAACCGAAAGGTGGCAAGTTTGAAGCCCGAGTCGGGGTTGAGCGCCCCACTGTTAGTAGCTGTTAAAAAAACAATGCCCAGCTCACTGTCGACCTAAGCAGTTTAAAAACAGCTGTGGGCTGTGAGTAGAGGAATTAGGGACCACTTAAAGTGGGGAGGCTAATTTATGACACCATAAAAATGCTGGAGAGCAAGGAAGAAATGCTATGATCAAAAAGGCTCGATGTCATAGTGGACGAAGTGACAGCTCCCCCTGTGGCTGAATTTAGCAACCTCCAGGATCCGAAAAGGAAGAACTGCTGGATGGCCTCTATCTGTCTGTATGTCTTGTATGTCAAAAATGACATTGAATGTTTGCCGTGTATATGTACATTGTGATTCGCCCTGAGTCCCCTTCAGGGTGAGAAGGGTAGAATATAAATAAACTGTAAAAAAATAAATAATAAAAATACTGTAGGAAACAAAAAGGGACAGTTTTCCTCTGAATGTTTGCTTTGCTTGATAATTCATTCAGCCTTTGCAGTCCACCTCACAGTTGTATCTATATTATGTGGATGACCGAGAGGAACAGCACGAAAGCAAAAAGGCTTGGCTGAAGCAAGACAATATGAGGAGCTCCCTGGTTTCCAGTTCAGTCTCTTAGGCCTCATCCTACACCATTCCAACTAATCCCCACTCCTCAAGGATTGACTCCTTTCAGGCAAAGTCCTGGGGAGAATCTGATACTTACTGAGTCTGGAGGTGTCAAGTCCTGAGGAAAGAAATTGGGGAGATTACTGTCTAGACAAAACAGCAGAGCATAATTCTTTAAGTGTAAAATACACTGGTTAGATGTGGCCTGCCTTCTCCTGAGTGTGCTGATATTTAGGTTAACAAGCCAGCTACCACCTCTTTTGGGATACTGCCATTCCCTTTGCAATGCTACATTTTCTTTTCCAAGGAACAGTCTACCTTGATCATCTGCTGAGTTGGTTTAATCCCACCAAATGGGCTATAGAGACTTTCCGCTATCTTCACCATTATATTCTTGAAACCATTTCTAGAGTTCTCACTAGCTGGCTTCCTCTGATTTTTCAGTAGCCTCATTTAACTCCATTTTGGTTTTGCGGATGCTCATTGAATGAACAATAACGCTCAGCATTTGTAGGGAATAATACCCTGCTATGCCAGCATTATTATCCCTATGTTGCTAGGGGTAGGGAAAAGGCGTAGAGCAAGTGTCTAAGAACACTGTGAAATAATGATTGAGACTTTTCAGGTTAGCATCTTATTCTTTCAGTCAATAAACCACAGGAACTAAGCTGATCCCCCGCCGCCTTCTCCCATTTCTCTCTCACACACAGTTTAACTAACAATGTTTAGAATTAGAGGCAGACTTACCATTTTCTGGAAGTTGACCTTCTAGAAGGAAGAAATTGAAAAGGTTACGCTGTGTAACAGTAGAGCCCAATTTGCTAAATGGAAAAATATAAAAACAGAATCCACACCATTCTGCTGCTATATATCCTGAGCTGCTAAGAGCAGTACTTCACACCAAGATTGTAGCCACCAGAGAGTAAGACAGGGCATCTCTGCTGAAAT